AAAGGTAGCCTTTTCTGCAGCTCTCAGAGACTCTGACACTGGAAACACTGGACCTTTCAATATTGACACCACTCTGAAATACCAGAAAATCTTCTCAAACAGTGGGGACTGCTATGATCCTTCAACAGGTAACTTAAGCCAAACAGATTGATGGACGGAATGATTGAATTCAAAACGATGACATTTGGGTTTTTTTTCCTTTTGATAATTCTGCAGGCATTTTCACAGCAACCGTCAAGGGAATGTACTTCTTTAGATTCTCCATGTTTAACAATTTGAGTTCTACTCCCAGCTCTGTTGTGAGCCTCATGAAAAACGACCAACGTTTGACATCAGTGTGGGACACCTCAGGGAGTGATTCCAATGACATGGGGAGCAATGCTGCGGTTATCGAGCTGAAGGAAGGGGACACTGTGTACGTACAGCTATATGCAAACAGACTGGTCTATGATGATGGCATGAACTACAACACCTTCGGTGGATTTCTGCTTTTTACTATGTAAGTTACCTGTTGGGGTAGAGAGCTGTTTATTGGCAATTTAATATAGCCTTAATGGGATAAAATTAACTAAGTAATCATTAACAGATATCCAGGTTAACCAGGGTTAATCACTGCTGTATTCACAGAGTGTAATTTAAACAAGTGTTCTTTAATAAAGTTTATTTAGTAAAGATTGTATGCTATGGTTGGAACGTTGAATAAATCCATTGTGGACTAAATAGTTTCTATGTAAATTACTGATATACAGTATATATATATATATATTACGTTTAGAGTTGGTGATTATTCCATCAGTATAAAATGAGTCGACGGTGAGACTAGCACTAACGAGGTCACGATCACAATGGTTTCAATTTTCTAGAGTTTATGTCAGATTTTACAGGCATCAAGCGACACTTTGGAAACAGTTCCGGGCATTTCAGATAAATCTATATTGTTCTCGACGAAGGGCCAAACTAACCATTTAAAACCAGCTTATTATTTTTGCATTCGCAATTTGTGTACTGCACCCAACACTGTTTAAAAAAGAAATGGTTAAAACTAAAAAGCACCACAGTCAGACATAATGTCTTTGAGAATTTGGAAAAACAGTTTACTTCCTTAGTCTTGGCAGGGAATTCTAAACACAGCCCGATCTCCATCTCAAAACATGGAACTGCTTACCCCTGATAAATAATGAAGGGATAATGAAAAATACTATTCGAACATGTGTTTATGTCAATGTAGAAGTCTTAAGGCTAAAGTAACGTTAGCTTACACTAAGCTACTTCTGAACAGTGAGGTGGGCTGAGCAGCACGTCTCTCCCTGGTCATTGGTGGCTCGACAGGTGTACACATTGGAGTCCTTGGTGCTGACTTGGTTGAGAACCAGGGTGCAACAGCCATCTTCCTCATACTCTATCTGCACCGAGGGGGATTCTTCAATGGACTCCCCCCCACAGAGCCATACCACCTCTGGATCAGGGTACCCTACAATGACAGGTGTCAAGAATGAGTATACTCACAATCCCCCCCCCAAAGTCACAGTATGTTAACCCCCCCAAAAAATAGTGGCTTTGATTGGCTTAAAATCATTCAATTATTTAAATCAAAACCAACCAGTAATAAACCAAAATTCTTAAAGAGAAAAACATATAGCTACTGCTAAAAGAATGACAGTATCACTTACTGAGTACCACGAGTGGTACACGAGCGCTCTCTAGTGGTACGCGGGGAAAATTCACATTTTCACATTTTGGAAGCTAATAGTGAAGGCCTCTGCTGCTATATTCTAATGTTGGTCATCATGGTGGTACTCAGAGAGATCAGTGTTTTCTCAGGTGGTACAGAATAGAAAAAACTTGAGAACCACTGTACTAGACAAATGTACTTTACTAATAGACGGGAGAAGATGGCGTCTACCTGTGAGGTGACATGTGAGGCAGGCAGTGGATCCCTGCGCTACAGTCTGGTCCTCCAAGCACTGGGTGAAGTGGGGCCGACTCTGCATCTTGCGCTCCAGAGACTGAAGAGCGTGCTGTGCTTCAGGGCTTAGGGGTGAATCTGAATTTTTTTTTTTTTAAATCAGACTTTGTTAGAAGGCTTAGATTTGTATATATATATATATATATATCCGCCTCACCTAATTCAGGGCTGGTAGGAGATGCTGAGCTATCGCTTTTGGAAAGTAAAGCCATTCTCTTCAGAGCAAGCATGGCTTTACCTGCTTTCTACAAGACACGTGTTAGAGTGTGGTTCAGCAGTGGGCAGTTAAACGGTTGTAAAAACATACTATTGACAGCTATTACCTTCCACTTTTGTCTGGCTAGGAACCGTTTCATCTTCTCTTTGGACAGGCACTTGGTGGCCAGAGCTTCAGTGTCAAATGCTGCCATCCAGGGGTGAGCCAGGGCGTCTTTACATGACATCCTTCTCCTGTTAGATAGAGTAGAGTAAGCAGTGGCTGACCAATAGGAGTTCCCCAGGGAACTATTTTGGTCAACTGCAATTTATGCATACATGTATAAATATATCTGATCATTAATATATATAAAAATTAGATTTCTTTTAGTGTTCTAAAAGTGCTGTATATGATATGCTGAAAATAGTCATGATCTTTAATTCCAAAATGGCAGCTACAGCTCATTTAGCTACGAGATGACGAATCCACCTGGTATCCTTGTTGAGCAGGGAACTGATGAAATTCTTGGCATCGTCTGTAATTTCGTCGAAACTCTCCTCGTCAAACTCCCACTGAGCAGCTGTGACCAAAGCCAGAGTCTCTGCATCACTGCTGCCCTGAAAAGGCGACTCGCCACTCAGTCTGAAAATCCGGAAAGGAGCAAGACAAAACAAACAGCGCTTTTATGGAACTTATCACTTACATGACGGGCTCCATGTCATTAGGTGACCAATCAACTTACAGTATGTAGCAGATCACCCCGATGCTCCACATGTCTGTGGCAAAACACACAGGCTCGTAGTTGATCACCTCGGGAGCTACAAACTCCGGCGTCCCTTGCATTACCAACAGGGGTGTCGTGGAATCTGTTCATCAAAAAAATGACATTATTTAATGCAGAGTCAGTGTGAGTTTTGGCTAATTGTGCTACGATGATTTACAGTATGCTTTTGTTTAAAAAAACGAGGTTATCGACAGACGTACCCAGACGCCTGGCCAATCCAAAATCAATGATCTTGACAAAGGTGCCAGTGGTGTCAAGGCACACGATGTTTTCAGGTTTGAGGTCCAGGTGGACAATGTTCTGGTCATGCATGTAGGAAACTCCCTCGAGGATCTGCTGCATGTAGTGGACACTCGCAGGCTCCGTGTGCTCAAAGTTATCATCCACAATACGCTCGAACAGTTCCCCACCGGCGATGCTGCGGACAGAGGAAACCAGATGGATAGATGGATGGATGGATGGATGGATGGATGGATGATTGTATGCTGTGCTGTACTTTACGCCTATTACTTACAACTCCATGACCATCACTATCTCAGGCTTGTGATCATAGGCCGCCAGGCACTGAACCAACTTGTCGTGGCGGAGATGGTTCATGAGCTCGATCTCCTTGCGGGCCGCCTCCCTCTCCTTTTCTCGCCGGCCTTTGTAGAACTTTCCGGCACACACCCGTCCTGTCTCTCTGTGGGTCAGCTTAAAAACCAGGCCAAACTTTCCCCTGGGAAATGTGCGAGTTAAATGTTTGTTAGTTTGGTTATGTAGTGAAGACCACCCATCATTTCCTGGATTTCTAAATAAATAAATAGATTTTAAAAACATTTAGTCTGATCTGGTGGTCCTACAGCAACTAAAAGACCGTTGTATTTATATTTCTACTTAAGTAGTAGAAATATAAATACAGTGGTGGGACACACCTTCGACCAAACAATTTGGGGAACGACATTACTGGAGATAGGCTAGCTCTATTTTTGTGAATGGTGAAAAAATATTTTCAGGGCAAATACTCACATCCCCAGTTTTTCCTGCAGCATGTAGTGTTCCGTGACTTTGTGGGTCGAGTCAATAGTGACGCAGGTATGAAGTTGAGACTCTTCCTCATTTTTTGGTTTCTCTGAATCTACAAGGGGGGGTGGTGGTTTTACAAACAAAGTTTTACAGATAGTTATGTTTTTGGTCATCAAGAAAAAAACAAGAAGAAATTGTTCAATATAGACAAAGTTTGCCTTTTTTTCTGGTTATGAGAAAAGTCTAAAAGGCAGTTAGATAGATCCCCACCACTGAGGCACATTAGTGTGTCATGAGAAATCATCTGGTGTAGCGCAGAAAATTATCTAATTTCACATAACAGGTTTTTAAAATATTATTTATTTTCTGCAAGTAATTTGTCTTTGTTCGTCCATGTGACAAAGAAAACCAGAACAATTAACCACTCCTCCACTAGGTGGCAACAGATTGCTATAAAACTAAAAGAAGAGACATTAGAGCCGTATTGACAGAGCAGCACTTCTTTGAATTTGACTTTGACTAATGATAAGAATTCCTACAGTGGTGTCCTGTACGGACTTGTCTCATTGGCATTTGCACAGCACTAGCAATGATATTTTGAGCATAAAAAAGACAAATCTAATTGTTTGTTTTGGTTACATAGTAACAGCTGTATAAAACAAACACACTTTATGTCCAACACTGAACTGAAAGATTTTCTCTCTTGGTTTTAAGAATTGAATTAGTCCACCAAACCTCTTTGCTCCATCCTGACCACCTCTGACACTGGTCCTGGCTCACTTCTCCCAACTTTGTTGTAGGCCTTCACTCTAAAGCAGTATTTTTCTTGTGGCTGCAGGTCCGTACACACTTTATATGAAGTACTCTTGCAATGGTCAGTGAGTTGACACCAGTCCCTGGTGTTTCCTCTTTTCACCTCAACCACGTAACCCAGTACGGCACTGCCACCGTCGTAGCAGGGACCTGACCAGGTCAGAACCAGGCTGGCAGGAGAGACACGGGTGATGACTGGGCAGGAGGTGGGTGGCTGTGGTGGCTCTGGTGGAAAGATAGTAGGAAAAATTACAGTATTTAGTAACAGATTTATAAAATAGCTCTGGTAGCATCTAGGCTAACACATGGACACGCATTGGCTAACAACATTTCCCAGAAGGAGGGACAGTTTGCAAATGTGAGCTTTCTGTTGACATGGGCTAATGATGCTAACTATGCCTCTGACATTATTATTAATTATTATTTTGAGACTTTTAGTTTAGACAGTGACAGAAATGCCGGAGAATCATTATTATTATTATTATTATTATTATTATTATTATTATTATTATTATTATTATTATTATTTGTTGTACTAGTAGTGTTGTTTTTGTTGTTGTTACAATAGCCAAGGCAATGCTACGGTTGCGCTGCTAACAGATAAAGATAAGATAAATACTAACAGAAACAAGTTTCTATACCTGATTGGAGGTTGTGTTATCTTTTTGATAATATAGAAGACTTTTTTGATTGCTGAATGCTATTCCTCACGATGTTTTGCTGCTAATCCCTGCTAATATCCTGGCCCTGTGATAGTTTACCTATAACAGAAAGGGTAAGCGTGTGCTGCGCTGATGTCTTGCGGTCCCTCACTACAATGGAATAGGAACCAGCGTGATGTGGTGTGACCTCTTCTATGACCAGTGTGCTGCTCTGATCAGTGTTTTCTGTCCAGAGCTTGGAACCGTCCACTATCTGGGAGATAGCAATATACAAGGGGAGGAAAAAGAGGAGGTTAGATGATGACACTGAGAGAGAGAGAGATTTCTTTGTCAACAATAAATACACCTGCTCTTTGTTTCGGATCCAACAAGACACAAGTGGCGGGCTGCCGGTGAACTGACAGGTCAGGCGGGCGGTCTGCCCGGTCTTTACCTCCACGTGCTGTGGAGGGTTTTCAAACCGCACTGGTGGCAAACCTGCAAAGTCAAAACAGTCAAACTCTTAATGGCTGTTACCAATTATTTTTTATTTAGTTTTTAAAAAAATCCTTTTACACTAAAGGTCATTATTGTTGCAGCTGGTACAACTCCACTGTCTACAGTGGAAACAGAGTATAAGACACATGACCCAAAACACATACAAGTACAACCAGTCCCTGTGTAATCACACCTTTTCAATAAGGAAACCAGTAAAGAGCATTTCTGTCTCTTTCATTAACTGCGGGCTATTTACTCAGAGCTTTTCTTGGAGAAAGCAAACAAACCGAGTGATCTCATGATTCCAATTATGAAACGAACCTTCCCGACATGACCTTAAGTCAGTACCTCTTGTCACACTATTAGTAATAAAACTTTGCAGCATGGTGAGATTTAATTTGACTGGACAATCTGATTGAGCCAAGTATTGCATCACTCTGCGTTTCCATCACTTTCATTCATCAGCTAGAGCAGAACTTCACTGCTAACATATTCATCCAATCCATAATAGAGCCTTTTTGTTAAAGGTTTTTTGTTTCTAACAGGTTACTCCCTACGGCGAAGGTCCCTTTAGCACCACAATAGTCTCAGGGCCCCATAATTGTAAAGCAAGACAAAAGGATGAAAAAAACAAATAGTAGCCCAGTAGACAAAGGGCTGTAGCCCACAACAACTCAGAGGAAAACTGGTTCTGGATCCTATCAACAGGTACAGACGATGGTAGAACCAGCTCTGTGCTGCGGACTGACTTCCTGCAGTGTTAGAAAGTGAGGAGAACAGAAAGGGTTTCCTTACCTTTCGCTGAGCTGGCTCGCTTCTTTGGTATAATTTCTGCAGAAAGAGAAGCAGCACAGGTAGGTTTTAGTAGGAGTGGTCAGAGGCGTGGCTCTCTGTATGGCTATTTTTATGGCTATCAGTTTTCTCGTTCATTTAGTTTTACTGTTCCATACACTGTCCACTACCCTACATGGTGCTCATTTAGGACTGAGAGCTCCTGGTTATCACAATGCCCTGCTCAGTTCCTGCTCTGAATAAATGCTGTCTAAGAACCAGTCACACAGAAGACTGGAAATGATGTGTTTCCTCCTCAGTCAAAGACACGGTCCGGAAGATGCTAGAACAATGGCGGACAAAGAGATGTTTGTCCGGATGTTTGTCAAACCACAAGTCTACAGTCACAGTTAATGTGTTACTTACATATTCTGTAGGTATTCCACAAGCTTTCTTAATGATACTTACTATATGTAACGCATATGAACCTAAAACCTGGAACCTTCTGGACCCGGGTCTGATTCCTTAACCACCACTGCCCCCATTGTCACAGGTTTTGGATGTTGTGGATTTTTACACTAAAGCTTCCACCCACAAAGGCAACACCTTTACAAGGACTGCACTTGCTTTATCGGAGCAGTAGATGTCTTATTTTGAGCATCTAGGATCTTTTTAGCAGAAGGTGCTCTGGGCTTTACTCTCTCCACCTTTAAACACTTTGATTTAAATAGTCACGTCAATTATTATTGTCTGGGCCATTATTGTAGCTATCTCTATTAGATTTCTTCAACTCTGCCAATAGTACTGAATCAAATTCTTAAACTTGAACTAGTCGGAAAAAATAATTTATTCAAGAACTTGATGCAATACCCTGTAGTACACACAAAAATGCACTGTGGCTCTATTACCTCTGGGAGAAGACACTGGGGAGCAGCCCCCTGTAGGGGAGCAGCCCCCTGTAGGTGATCTTTCAAACCTGTGCAGGTTTCCTTTTGGAGACTGTGGACAGCTTCCATTTTCAATGAGAGCCCTGGTTGCTGACGAAGAGATCTCAGAAACATTTTTGACACTGTTTATTTTTCTGAACTCTAAAATGGTAAACAAGAAGAATGGAAATGTCAATTAGAAACTGTACTTTGCAAACTGTGATATACATTTTAACCCCCATTTTAAGGGTCAAATGTTGACTATGTGGGGGTTAGACAGAGTCAGACATAAAGATACATCAAAATTATTTCACAAGTTTTCACAAGTTCTGCATTGTAAATATGGTCGTTATTAATATGGTAGTTAATAGTCAAATCCAAGCAAGGCGGTTAATGACAGATACAATAAAATTAGAACATCAAATTTGAAATTATTTGACATGAATAAGGAAAAAAAGTTTAAATGCAAGTAGAAAAAAAACATGAAAAATCTGACCTAAAATAAAGGTATTATTACTGGTTCAGTATTTTTATTGTAGTATTTTATTACTGAACCAGCTGGTTCAGTAATAATAATGAATAAAAATAAACAGACGTTCTTATATAGAGGAAGTTATACAGTATATATTTAAATACAGTATTAGCTAGTACTCCAGACCTAACTTGACCCCCCTTATGTACGTGTGGGGCCTATTTGGTTCTTATTGCGTTTAATAGTATTGACAATTTTAGTGGTCATTTTTTAATTTCACACATTATTTTTATGCCAATTTTAGTGGTCATTTTTTAATTTCATTATTTTTATGTGTTTTAAGTGTTTATTCATGTTCACCTGATAGCAGAGATTACTGCACATGTAGACAGGCACTTAAAAGGCACCTTTTGGGGTCTTTATGGATAATTGGGCACCTGATGTCAGTGACGTAATGATGTAGCGTCTGCGTGATTTCAGATTAGCGACTGGGACGAAAAACTATATAAAAGTTGATTATACATACTGTGCGTGTAGTTTGAGACACTTATTTACCGAACTAACAAGGCTTATGTCGCTTAATTACCTTACGCAACTCTGTGCACGTATGTACGTCATGTCAGCGTAAAAGTGGCGTTAATATATATTTTTTTATTCCCCCCCAACTGTATGTACAACATACATGATTTGACACACCGTTACCGTGAGGTAAGGAGTATGAACCTCTTTGTTTGTTACATTTTTATGTGTAAAGTTAAGTATTCAAGCTTTTTTTTTCACAGTTTTGAATACTTTGTTTTATTATTGTCTGTTATTATTATCTTTTATGCAGTTTGCTATGCCTTTATTTCAGCTGCAAATTGAATTGTTTCATACATTGGCTCTTTTATTGCATGTTGTGCTCTTGAAACTGAAACTTTTAAAATTATCATGTTAAGTTATAGTCATATATAAAATTGTTATATATTCATATTTAAGTTATAGTCATATATAAAATTGTTTCTCATATTGTTTTATTTAAAGTAAGGTGCTAGACCTGATCTAGTTAAGTTTAAACCGTTTTTAAAAAAAAATATGACCATCATTGTGAGTCAGACTTTATGATGGACAGTAATTCAGAGGGTTATTTGCTGTATATGTCCCTGAGAAAGAAAAATAACAAGAAGCAAAGGCCCACATAGACTTGGCGAATCAAAAAGGTGGTTCGTCACAATTTGAAATAGTTCCAAGAAAGCATTATACTGCACAAACTTGTTTAGTCAGGCAGTTGGATTAATAACAGTGTTGTCCTTATACTGTCTCTGCCGTACTCTCATGCTCTCCTTACCTCTTTCAGTGCGTTTGCCTGCAGCCCCCGGGTCAACAGATCCTGATCCGTGTGCTGGTGCAGGGGATACGCGTGGTGGCTTAATCTGCATCCTAAAGGTTGACACAAAATGCTGTTTTGTCCCATCACTACTCATGTTTGGTCAAAGTACAACCCAGCCTCAAAAATAAAAATAAAAACAGAACTAATAATTTAAAAAGTCATTTCCTGAGCTGTTTATCACACTTCCTCTCTGTCACGGCTGTCTTCAGAGTGTCTCTACACTATAAAACCCAAACAGCCTCTGCCCCACAGCCAGCAATGTTCTTTCCTCACTCCTCACCCTCGACTCACCCTCCTATCATTCACTCTAACCCCACCTACACCAGAAACCCTGTTGTTTTGCTTTAGTGAATTCTCTGTACAGCAGGTAGTTATGTCTCCCCTTATCTTACAACATGAAGCTGCATTACACACCCACTACATAAAGCCTTCTCCTTTTACAACATATGGGCCACACATAAACAAAAGGAGAAAGAAGCGGCAGTACAGTTGGACGGCGGAGCCATGGAGGTGTCTTATCTATCTGGCCAGCCAAAGGTTGTAGTGTGTGCTGTTTGTTAAATGTGCTGCAATATTTATATATCGGTTTCCCTATTTACGTCCACATTTATCAAGGCAGCAGCTGAACTTTGTGATGTAAGTGACGCTGGCACTGCAATAGTTTTTGCCCGTTTTTACACCTGTGGACTGTAAAGCTGTGATTGTGCAGAACAGGCTCATAAATTCCTTGTCACTCCTTCAAAGTGAACGCCTTCCCTCTGTCCTGTGTAGTTCACAGTGGGAGTCCCTTTCTGCAGGTGGAAGTGTCATTTACATGGAGCCACCTGCTGTTCTCGCAACATGAAGGGACCTGCTCTGGCTCTGATCTCGAACACATGTTGCTGATGCAATCAACATGACGAGAGAGTATTGAGCGGTATCATAAAAAAATCTGTAATCTCCACCCAGCAGTTGGTTTTGATTAATTCTGTTACATTAATGCATTTTAGCAGACGCCATTATCCAAAGTGACTTACATGAGCATGATTAAGTCTATGGTTCCACTGGGGCATGAACTCAGGACCTTCTGTGTGTAGAGCAGGCGTGATAATGGCTACACTATGGAACAACACTATCATGTGTCTACCGTGTGCCTCCAATACTATATACGCAATTTGCTGAAAAGATGGTAAACTCTCTAACATAGCAACCAAAACAAATCTATAATTGACAATGACCTATGTTGGTAAATGTTTTTTTAATAAACTTTTAAATTGTCTCAAGTGGGAAGAGGTGACCAGAGCTACACTTAACTACCGCCCCCTTTTAATGGCACTGACCTCAGACTGAACTGCTGATTGCATGAATAATGATGTACTCTCTTTTAAATGTCTTTTTCTCCTTATAGTAACAGAACAACAATAAAAAAGATCTGGACTAAATTGTATTACTTATAAAAATGTAAAAATTGTAATACATTTAAAAACAATACAGGATTGGGTATAGACTGGTACATTGGTTGGACCAGAAGGTTCAGTACCACCTAGTCCCAACAAAGGAACAGGAAAAGGGGCAGCGTTTAACTTCCTAACAGACTGGTGAGATTATTGTGTCATCTGCAAACATGATGATGATGTGTCAACTGTTCAATCTTTAAAAGCTTAGATTTAATGGAATGCCAATTTTAACTCTTTCATCTGAAGCCTCATCCTCAGATGGCGATGACGATGACATTCTTACAAGAAGTATTTTAAATATCCACGTGGTAGTTTCCTGTCGCACGATATTCATCAACTGTTAAATGGCCATTTTGTATACAGGAAACAACTAATTCTGAAGTCAAACTGCTGTAACAGTACAACCTCAAACCAACAAATTTGTTATTACTTGACTTTTCCGGCATCTGTGGGAGAGCGAGAAAGAACTGAGACTATCGTCAGTCTACATCTAGTTCCTTCTTCTCGGAAACAGGAGCCACAGTGATGAGACGTTTTATCGACAGATGTTAAAGCTGAGAGAGCAGACAAAACTAAGTGCACAATCTGGTGATGACATCTGATTGGTGGGAGAGAACTCTGAGCAGCTGTAACAATGCCGACCCATTGTTACAGCATGTCTTTGTCCAGCTCCATCCTGTTAAAGAACACAAATAATTGCAGTCAAATTATTACTGTTCTGTTTAACTATATACAGATTTCTAGTGCACTGTTGAATATCAAGTGTTTGCCATCAGTTAATCTTACAGGATTATCAGTCACTCACCTGTGCGTGTTGCTGCCTGCTGCTCTCTCAAAATCCCAGACAGGAGATCGTGCGCAGCGTTGTGTCCAGTGATCACAGAGAAAGAGAGGGTTCAGGGCGTGTTATCGACATGACAGCACATGAATTTTCCTCTGATATTTTTTTCCTCTGATATATTTTGATTTTGTAAACTACTGTATACAATTCCTGATGTTTTTTCTTATTGCTATAATTATGAATCATTAACATTTCAATCATTTCCTCTTTCATACAGCAAAAAGCCATGTGTCATAGTGGAAAAGTGGCCAGGACTTTTGCCTTACACCGGGATTGTCACCGGTTTGATGCCCAGCAGTAACAGATGATCGTTCCTTGTGGGGTTGGTATCATATTTCTTATAACATTGCTTTATAAAGACATTTTGTTATTTAAAAAAAATATATACAGTATATTTTATGAGTAGATTAATTCTTTTCTCTCTTTTTTTACTGCTGGCTTCTCCGTTTTACATTGAATGCATACATATTTTTTTTCGTTGTCATATATTTTGTTTGATCGTTTAAGGTAGTTTATCTAATTTAGTGATGCGGTGTGACGACCAAAAATCACACGCAACAGGTTAGAGAACACTCAGTGAGTACTGCATCGAGTAAACCGTGTTGCAGTGCCCTCTAGTGCCCACTTTTGCAGCAAGGGAAGTAAATTCCATGCAGGGTGAGTCACGATGGGTTTTCCAGTCTGGGAGACTAAATGATGCAGTAAAACATTTTGTTGGGGGATAAGATGAGTGGTTAAACGAAGGACCCCCGCTGCCCACCTGATATAAGGGTCTAAAAGCTTCACGTTATCCTAATTACACCTCATTAGTGGGCCTCAAAGCAGCAATCAGTGCCATTGACAATCTTCAAATCAGACTGGCTCCATCTAGAGGCCAAATATTAAAATATATTTTTCTGTAATTAGAAATACATGAACCAGAAATAAAATATTTATAATATCACATGTGCAATAGTTTTTCTTGAAAACACATTTGAGCTCATTATCTAATAATTTAATTTACAGTTTTTCTTACTTTTTGTTGACAATGGTCAATAGAGCCAAAAAAGTGTTTTTTTTTATCACTGAGCTGACCAGTCACTTTAACAGTAATTTCTCTTTCAAGCTACTTTCAGGCTTGAAAGTTCTATATACCATATAGAACAATGAGTAACAAAAAAAAGGTGTTTAAAACTACTATTCAAAATATTATTTACTAGTTATTTTTTTTCCTATTGCATTGACAAGTGAGAGTCTATGCATCATCCTTCGCAGTAAAAAAAATATATAAATTCTAAGTTCAATTCCAATCTCACGTTCAGTTCCTTTAACCTGATTTCTATCATAACTACTTGCATCTGGTAACTTTCCTCCCTGTGGCTGAGCTCAGTTAAAGGTGACTTTAATTGACCCGGCTGTACAAAAGGTCTTGTTGTTTTTTCACTCTACTGATTTCACATATTAAGCGTGACTGTCTGGTCTTCGTACCCTCAGGGCACTGCATCGGCACAGAGAGCTGAGGGGGAATGAAAACACCAAAGTACAGAGGACAAATCAAGACAAAAGTGTTAAAGGTACTTTTATGAAAACTTGAACACATTTCACATGCCACCACAATACACAGCTTGTCGGTGTTAAACTCACATGGGTTTACGTAAGCTACAAATGTACAACGTTGGCATAAAACATAACAACCAGGGCAAATGTTTAGGTTTCATTCAGTTGGCAGCTACAATTAAACACCCAAAACACAAATGATGCAGAAAAACTGAGATTTTAAAAGGTTTAAGAGGTCCTCCTAAAAAAACAGGGAAAAATTGAAGAATGTATATACAGCTAATGTATTGCCAAGTTAAAATGATCAATTCATAGTTAAGTGCGATAAAAGTCACATACTGAGACAGCAAATACGTCAAGGACATGTCTCCTGGGATACATTGTCTCTTTCCAAATAACAGTCAGTAATCTCAAAATCTAAATGTCCTTGTAATCTAGATGTATTTTTATTTTAATTTATAAAACAACACTTGGACCAGGACATGAATGCTGCATTGATAGCGTCCTGTGAAAGGATGTTGTTGTTAAACCATTATTAACAAGTTTTTTTTTCTTTAATCTACTATTTTTCATGAAAGAAAAGAGAGTGCATGTGAGCCTGTATCTGTCCATGTGTTTGACTCCCACCTTCGCAGTGAGGCCCCTCCAACCCTGTGTTGTTGGTTAGGGCCCACATGGAAGCGATTATACTGCGCCGGGAGTAAAATTACAGAGTGAACCTGTGGAACTGGATCCCTCCTATTTCCACTCACTCATTCACTAAGATTTACACACAGAAAAACACACACACTCGTGAACACAAACTGAGAAGCACAAACATCCGAGTGAGTACAGATCCAGATACAGAGAGACCGGCGGAGTCCTGCCTAAAGCTGTATGTAGTAACTGCCGCTGACAGCGTTAGGAGAAGGATGCAGCGTGCATTCATCCAATCCCTCTGACGTCTCCTTGACTAAAAGCCGGACGGCACCGGGGCTGTAAATTCCTCAAAAATAGCTGCTAGCAGGGCCTCTGGTAAGGAGTGGCAGCTCAGCAGAGAGCAGCAGGCTAAGTCGTACAGAAGACGACCAGGCTGAATTTAAGTGGTTTAGTCATTTTATCTTGATTTAATTCATTATATATAAACCAAATAAACAATTGTTGGTCCACTGTCCATTGATGTTCAAATGTAGTGATCTACACAGTGGTCACTACACAGGGCTACAGTGGACGTAAGAGCTCATTTCACCAGACATTGGGCAAAATGCTAATGCTAGTATTAGCCTAGAATCTAGGCTAATATGCCATCTTCATCATCATTGTACAGGAAGGCAGCAAATTGATCAGATTTCTCGAAACTTCCGTTTTTGTACCATACCCAGCTGCATTAATTCCCAACAACCAAACGATGACAGCGAGTTTATATACAAAACAGAACAAAGTGTCATCGTTGGCTACTTGAACCATGAAGCTGAAAGTTTATGAGAGTGGCATGGTTGTTTATAGATTGTGGTGTTTAGATGCGCATTAAATATCCCCTCCCATCCACACACTCTTCTCCCAGTCAAGCCCATTATTATCCCAGGCGTTCTGCAGCAGACTCCCAAAATATGTCACACAGCTGCCGGCACCTCTCTGCTCAGCAGCAGCAGAGGAGGCTTGGCGCAGCTCCCTCGCTTTCTGCACACAGAAGAAAAGACGGGGAGCAAAACAGCCCGTTCCCTCCCTTACAACATCATTAAGTGTGCGTTTTAGTGTGTTGTTTGTTCTCGTGTCATCAGGGTCCCGCCCCTCAGTGGTCTGTGCTCTCGCGAGTCATAAAATCCCAGACAAATGGTTTGCACCAGGCCTGACAATTTGCCACCAGGAATGTCAGTCAGGATGCAGATCTTCTGCAATAATTCATGGAGCAGCCTTGTTTACACAAAAGGCCTGCATCACACACACAAAAGCACAAACCACACTTGAAAAACATATTTTTGAAAATGCACATTTACATACAGTAACAAAGTTCAGAACACATTGAATTTAATTCCACTACATTCCAAAAAAAGGGCTACCTCCCATTTTTTCCTAAATTATTACTTAGGTAAAACTACTTCTTAATTGCTTAAAGACTTAATGTTGTGGTTTTGCGGGAAATGTTCAGTCCATTGTTGTTGTATCATAGACTCAAGCTGTTCCAAAGTCAATGGCCACAGACACAAACTGTTCTGCCAGCTGGCCTGTCAATCATTTATTTATTTACTGCAAATAATTTGCTGGTTTTTTTTTGTTAATACCCGAGTGACAGGCAAATAATTAAATACTTTTCCACTAGATGATAACAGATGGCTATAAAAACTTAAATGAAGAGAAAAAGTCGGAGTTGTTGTAGATCTTATTTCTGTCTTTCTTCAATTCCTGCGAGTATATCAGGGTTGTGTTTAACGAAACAGGCCAGGGTTCAATAGAACAGAAAGTAAACTTGTGAGTAAATTGAAACAGGACGATCATTATATTTTATTACATATACTTTTTGGGACCTTTTTATTTGGTGGTGCACAGTGGGATTTTTCAAATGTAAAATATGGACCGTGGCTTAAAAAAAGGTCGGGAAACACTGAATTAAATCCTGTAAATTATATGCAGAGCCTTGTCCAAAGGCAGTAGTGAACAGTTTGGCTGGTCTACTTTTATCCTGGGTGACCAGAAGCCAAGGTTTCCTCCAAACAGCTGAAACATTGACTTTTCTGACCACAAATCACTTTTCTATTGTCTTCTCAGACTGGAGCTGAGAAAACTCCACGGGGGTTTGAACACAATTGATGTATACCTTCCTGTTGGTGTGATCCAGTTCCAGGGAACATTTGTCAGAGCAGCAGTAGTCTATGCAAAGAAACAATGATTTCTGCCGTGGTCTAAATCCACAACATCTGTGTTATTTATAGTAACTTGGATCTCTCTAAGGGACTTGGAGTCTTCCTTGTTCAGCAGCATTTTCAGGATCATTAAATCTCTGGTTTTAAGGTTTTTTTTGTTTGTTTTTGTTTTTTTTATAACAATTTAGATTTTATTGTCAGTTTAGAGTGTCCATCCATGAACAGTTTGGTGGTCCATCGCAGGGCCATATATATTGTATAGTGGTATACAACCATTGACATTCACATTCATAGCTGTGGTCAGTTGAGAGTGTCTGATCAACCTAATTCTCAATCTGTTTTTAAGGCTGTGGAAGAAAAGAGGGCTTGAACCTGTGACCTTCCTGCTGTAAGGCAAGAGTGCTAACCACTTAGCTACTACGTGTTCTAGTAGGTAAGTATGTTCTTTCTTGTTTTCCTTGTTGCCTATGGGTTACAGTGAACACCACGCTACACATCCTAGTCCCCCTGTATTTCAAAAATATTTTTTTAAATTAAATTTCTTCACACTATTCCATGTTATGCAAAATTTTGACATCTTGACTTGGGTGATGGAGGTTGATTTGTTCAAGGTGTCAATTATATTGTCAGATGAAAAAAAAAAGGCAATTTGCTCAATGAATAGAGAAAAGCAGGACACCTCCCTGTGAAGACAGTCATAGTTTATGACTGGAGGCCATGAATCAAAGTCAGAATCTAAACTGCTCATTTAGACCTCGCGTCTCCTGCCAACTTGTTACGCTCCGTCCCACTCGCACTGGCCACCGCTGAAAGCAACAATGGGAGGAGTGGAAACGTCCTGCACTTCTTCCCTGGCGTTCAGCTGAAAGCATGACAGATATGTCGAGTGTGTGCTCTGGAAAACCTCAGCTGCCGGGATAATGTACGACTGCAACCAATCCGGTGTTAGCCCTCAAGAGCCTGAGCACGTCCCGAGTTTGTGCCAAGAATTGATTAAAAACAGTCTCTCTACATGTTTGCATCGGTTCTTTCCTCATTTTTTTCCTCCTCTTTTTTCCCCCGCAACCCTTTTGTCCATCTAAGGCCCCCCCCCCTCAGAAAAGAAAGACATAAACGTTGAACAAAAGCTTCATAGTAACAGTAGGAACACTACAGTCGGTGACTAAGAATATGATCCTCCTCTGACATTTCAAAACCTTCTTCAGCATATTGTCATGTTGAAGAGCATTCTTTCAGTCCTGCCCTCAATCCTCGGCTTGTCCCTTCTTGCCCTGGAGCAACCAGGATATAGTGATGATTGTAAGATTTAAGATCTTGGGTTGTTTTTTTTTTTTAAACAACCTTGTCTTTTGATATGTTTTTATCAGCTTTGACTTTGTGTTTTTGATAAGTTGAATTAGTGTAGGTCAGACATTGCAAACAGTTTTGGTTTTATGTAAATGATTAAAGCTCAGCTTCTATTTTTGTGACCGGTTTAGTTATCTTAAATGATATACCTCTGTCAAATTGTCATATTGCCCTCAGTCCTACAGGAGGAGCAGTAGAAGCTAAATCAACCTGATTGTTTTATATTCACCTGATAAAGATTCGTGCGGGCACTTATCAAGTTTTTTCGAGCAAAGATTACACTGCGGAATCAATAGTTTTCTGGAACGAGTTGAGCGCGAGACATCTGAAACCAATTTATTTCCGATGTCTTGAGATCCAAAATATTAGCTGACATATTCCGAAAAAGCGGCGGTCAAATATCTTCTCGGACTCTCCTTTGTTCTTCCATAGCAGCTGTGTTCCTTTTTCGAAAAAAGAGGAAAGTAACCAAATTGTGCAGAATTTTCCATCAGGCTTTCCAACAAAAAAAAATCCCTTCACTCCGAAAGAAATCTCGCCCTCTTCATCGCCAGTACCCCACCCACGCACCCCTGCTCCCCACGCTCTCCCTCCTCATTTGCTTCTCTGCTTCACTGCAAAGCCAAACAAGCCAGCTATTAAGTTGAGTTAAGCGCAGGAAGTGGGCCTTCGGGCCAGACGGCATTGTTTACAAGGAGCTAGTCAGGTTTCAGCAGCACTTTGAAGTGAGCAGCACACAGGAGACTGTCTGTCACTGAGCGAAGGCACAGCACCACTCCACTGACTCACTCACATACCCCCCCACATCCATCCATTCATCTGAGCATACAGGGGGTGGGATGATGATGGCCGAGGGGGTATAATATGGCAGAAGAAGGAGATGCACAGGTAGATTTATGGCTTTTTGCCCCCACAGTGTCTGCTCCTTCCTTTAATCAGTTTGTTTTTATAACCCATCTTTATGTAACCCCAGAAAGGGATGTAGGAAAGACAAATATCAACTTGTTCTGCGGGTCACGACATTAATAAGTGTGGCTGCTGATTGTGGTTCACACAGTGTTTTTCAGATAAACATGGAAACTCTTAGTTTTGACACCAGATCTGGAGTATATTTTTACTAGCTTTGTTATCAGAAGCTTTATTAAAACATATATAGTTTAGGAGAACCTAATCTAACTCTGTTTACAGAGGAATGGACTGTGAGCAAACTGAAGAGAAAAACTCCAATCCAAACTAAAACGCAGTAAGGAATACCTGAAGATACAGTAATGCATACCAGAAGCATATCATTTGCTCGGAATAAAAAAAAAACAAGAACGTAGCCAAATACACCATCCCCCCAGTGTGAGGTTGGAACAAATTATGAGTAAGAAAAAAAGACTGAGAGGATTGAAAAGGGAACAAAGCACTGACCTAAAATACACTTCAGCAACTGGTGGAAAAAAGGCTTACCCCCTAAGACTGCTTAAGTATATATTTTTTTTGACTGAACAGAACGGCACAAACTACTGATTGAAATCATGCAGTCAGTCCGTTAAATGGACTGGAGGCCACGGTCCGGGCCAGAAGGCTGTATCTACTTTAGTGAAGAAAAAAAGAATAGGCTGGAAACACTCCAGGAAATCTTTCCGAAGTTTGTTTAAAAGTGACCCCAAATGGCAGAAATGTCTTTATTAGCAAAATAAAATGACTGTTTTCTACCCAGAGACAACTGCAGTTACTGTTTTTACCCTTAACCTCGACGATACAAGGTGTACTGTAGGCTAGGAAGTACTGTACGAGTTCTCTGCCAATGCCTGGAGTATGTGCACTAAAAGATGGTGGGGGTGGGGGGTCAGCTTTCTCCAACGCACCCATGTACTTGATGACATCACCACAGGCTAGGTCGAGTTTCAGCGGTGCGTTGCTTTGGGGGATTCCAACTTGGCACAGACGACGGTGGCTGCAGCACGAACACAGCTCACAGCCGTGTTTTCCATTCGCAGCAGCAGCAGCAGCAGCAGCAGCAGCGGAAACACTTTCACACCTGTGCAGCTCCGCAGGCCTCCTCTCGCCTTTTGTTTATTTAACACGATCCTTCTCAACAACAGGCCAAAAAAGGAGAAGCAGGGTGAGGAGGCCTTTGTTTTGTTAAGCACTTGTAAGGCGATGTTCCTGAAACAGTGGAGGAAGTCCTCGGTCACACTCTAGCACCGTTTCCCCAGGGACCAGAGATTTGAAACATTTCCGAATACATGCGAAAAACAGGAGTGAGTTGTGGAGGTGATAACTTATGGAGGGGGGGTGCGGTTCACTCGACAGTCAGAACCGATCCCTTTTATTTACCAGGAGAGCTGCTGTCTCTTCCATTAGGAATTCCAGTGATCTCTCACTGCAGCCTGTCAGTCTGAGAAAACAGATGTTCAGGTGTGACACAATCTTGACGCCCAACAGTAAAAACAACATTTCAAAGACATTTAATAAAAATGTAGAACTGAAAAAGTTAAAACAAAATAGGTATTACCTCATATTCCCCGGAATTCCAAATGGTCGGTGATATTTTTTAATAAAAAAATATAGCAGATATATATCTATTATACATATAAAGGCATATATAAAAACAAATATTTAAATTAGAAAAATCAAATTTCATTGATAATGATCGCCATATGTCACAAAAAGGTGTGACATTTTCTTTCAAGAATCAGAGCCTCAGATACTAATTTGAGGTCTTCAGTTAAACTTAACACGTATTTGTCTATTATACATCAATATACATAGGTTAAAAAAACAACTGGAGACGAGAGGCATAGTTGGCCGTAAAGTGGCAGATCATACATTCTAAATATGATCATGATGTACATTGATTTCATAACGGTTTGTATTTTACGTATTTGACATGCAAAAGACAAACAGGTACAATGGCATTTAGGAAAAAAAAACTTTACTTTCTTTAAATACAAAATATATTTATATATATAATTTCCCTATTTTACAAATGCTATGTACACTTTGGGTTTTAATTAACTCTGAAATGTTCGTTAGATCGTTGTTCTTTAGCTAGTTTTTTTTCCCAGTTTATGTACACTTTGGGTTTTAATTAACTCGTTTTTTAACTAGTTTTTTCCCCCAGTCTGCACTCCTAGCTTTGGGATCAAGTCCTGTTAACTGTATTGAGGCTTTTTAAAGGAAAAGTCTGAGAGAGTGAACATTTCAGAACATGACATCTTTAGCCGTGACAGTTATTCGTTCTGGCAGTTTGGTTGCGTAATTGTTTATCCATCATATTCATTTGTCCAACCACTAACCCTCAGTTTGTCATGCATGTGCGGCTATAGAGCTGAGGAGAGGATACAATTGTTGAAGAACTATACACTACTCAGTGTGCCATCTATCTATCACACAAGAGGAACTGGTAACATTATGTATACTAGTCTCACCAATACAGTGGCGTGCGCGTATTTTACACCGTGGTCTCTCCGTGTTTGCCATTTGTCAGCCTTGTGTAGAACTTGTGCCAGGAGTGGAAAGTCTTCCCTGACCAGATCCAGAAACCAGAGGTGATGCCTACAATAAGTGTCATCAGGTACTTGATCATGTAGACGGTAAAATCCGGGGTCATGTACGGCCCGGTTTGCATAGGGCACGGGATGGCCAGGCCTCTGCAATTGTGGCTGACCCAGCTCCGTTCCCAGTGTGGACGGAAAGCCTGCTCATAGAAAAAGCAGGCGATGACAATAGTAGCAGGGACAGTGTAGAGCACACTGAAGACCCCGATCCTCACCATCAGCCGCTCCAGCTTTTCTGTCTTGGTGCCATCGTGTTTCATGATGGTGCGGATTCTGAAAAGCGAAACGAAGCCGGCCAACAAAAAGGAGGTCCCGATAAAGAGGTAAATGAAGAGAGGGGCTAGGACAAAGCCTCGCAGGGGGTCCAGGTTGCCGAGACTGACGAAACACACTCCACTGAGCATATCGCCTTCTATCTGACCGATGGCCAGGATGCTGATGGTCTTGACGGCCGGCACTGCCCAAGCTGCTAGATGAAAATACTGAGAGTTGGCCTCAATGGCCTCATGTCCCCACTTCATACCTGCTGCCAGGAACCAAGTGAGGGAGAGGATGACCCACCAGATGGAGCTGGCCATGCTGAAGAAATACAGCATCATGAAGAGGATGGTGCACCCTTCCTTTTTGGTTCCCTGGACAATGGTTTTATAGCTGTCTGGGTAAAAACTATCATTGCATACGACCTTGTCACCTAAAAAGTACCCGGCTATGTAGGCTATAGAGACCATGGTGTAGCAGCCAGACAGGAAAATGATAGGTCGCTCAGGATATCTGAAGCGTTGCATGTCAACCAAATAGGTGGTCACTGTGAATAACGTGGATGCACAGCAAAGCACAGACCAGACCAGGATCCAGATGCGGGAGAATTGGATCTCTTTGTCTGTGAAAAACATGTGGCCGCTGCTCCTGGATGGCTCACATGGAGCCGCACAGTCCTGGACCTCCAAAAACTTGTAGCTCAAATAGGAAGGCACTCTCAGAACAGAAGGACATCTGGAAGGTTTATCCGGTCTGAAGAGCACTGAGCCGCCCTGCGTCCCCGGTACGGACATGATGGGTGGGACCGTGGGGGCGGCGGAGGACTCGTTTTGACCCACGCAGATCTGTTCGTCTCCCAGCACAGGGAAGTTCTCGCAGCGCAAGCGTTCCGGCCACTGGAAACCAAACTTGTTCATGAGAGCCTCACAGCCCTGCTTGGCTCTCTCGCAGATGGATCTGCACGGAGGAATGGCCTTTTCCAAAACGGTGCACACGGGCGCGTACATGGAGCAGAGGAAGAATTTTAACTCCGGGGAGCACTGTACCTTCACTAACGGGTAGAACTGATGCACCTCCAGTCCTGCGTCTTCTTGGTTGTAATGGCCAACTAAATTAGGCATGATGGTCTGGTTATAGGCGATGTCCGTGCACAGAGGTATCGTGATCGGTTGGCAAAAGCCATGCTCCGGGACCACTATCCCGTTGTCCCCGTGGTACTGCGCTGATAACAACAGAGGCAGCAGGAGCGCAACAAAGCAGGACTTGCAAAAAGTCATCTTTTAAAATCTAAGAATAAAATGTTATCCTATATTCTTCAGGTATATATTATACGTTTTACAGCAACGCATAAGTCAACAAATTGAACTTTGTATAAAATCCCACAGGTGAGTAGTCCTCACCAAGTCTCTGCTGTGTACTGTGCAGCCTGACTAACTTTTCCCTACTAGTTCATGCACCCCTGTCAAGTCCACCATTATTTTCGATGCGACTTCCGATACGCACTTTCAAAATAAAATACTCAACCACTTTACAGAAATAACTCATGTATTGTTCGAAATTAGCCAAAGAAAATGAACAAAATATTAATTTATATGGCATTAATTTGACATACTATTTTAAAATAGCCAATATACTAATTCCTTGACCTAAAATAATTTAAAATATACTAATACAGTAGTACACAAATCACAACTAAAAATGGACATTTACATTTAACAACAGCAATATAGATATAGCGTAATAGGGAGGCATCCAGTGCAAAAAACGTCTTCAAGTATTCAGGGGGCACCATCTACCCCTTTGGGGCCATGCTTGCAATATTTCTTTGAATATATTCTTTAAAAAGTAAATGTACAAAAATAAGGAAACGTAAATATGTAAAACGATCCAATAAAATCAAATAAATACATTTTATTACACATACTTTTCGACAAAATGTCGTTTTCAGAACTTTATATGCCAAAACCGCCAGACAGGACAATTAAATTAAAAGTACAATTAAGAATTAAAAAATAGTATCCGAGATTTGAGCTAAAGTGTGGAAATAAAATCACAATTGATAACTTTAAGAAATAAAACAACGCAAAGTCTAGCTCTTTAATGTCAAAATGGTGGCGACATCTTCAGGCGAAGACACAAAAAGCCTTGTTGCTATGCCCTCGATATTTTAGTTGAAACTAATTGGTTAGAAAAAGAATCCAATTTGTCAGCCTCAGCCAATAGAATTTCCGGTGGCGCGGAGAGTATATGTCGTGGAGACTTGAGGCGCGAGTAAGACAAGATGGTGGGAATAGAACTAAACTAAAGTAACATCATTTTATTCAGGTAAAAGTTGTTTTTTATATATTTAACAAAGTCAACGTTCACGAGTGGGCTTTAATTTTGTGCGATTCCGAATAGAACATACGTTTTAAAAGTAGTCAAGTAGTTAAAAAGTTTCAACTAGCTTCAACCACCAACGTTTATAACGGCTTCTTCCCAAGGTAAAAAAAATGTTTTTCCACTACTATTATCACATTACTCCAACTCTACTGATTCGTTACAGCAGTTGAACATTTTTTATTTTATGTTAATATTTAGTATTAAGTTAATTGTTTTTCGCTAGTGTGAAATATATTTCTTATTACAGGGTTGATGGTGTTGATCTATTAAGTAACTGAATATTCAAATAACTTACCATTGCTCATTGTAATACACATAAGCATTTTAATTTTGATTCCCAATTAGTTTAAAACATGTCGCAGCTGTCTTACAAATCTTACAAATGTAAAGGAAAAACACTTCAACGACAATGACGTTTCAATCTCCGTCTTTCAGGACAAAATGGATGCAGGTGTTGGAGCTAATAGAAACAAGGCAT